CAACCGCAAAGTCCTCAGGTGCCTGTGTAGAGTCAACAAACTAATGATTATACCATCATATGACTTCAAGATGGGACTATCTCCCAGTGTCTTAAACCCAGATCAAAGTAAAACTTGATTAAACTAAACAAGCCGGTCATGTTTGTTTCCATTACATCGACCTCTCAATAAAGGAATGAATGTGTCTATTGTTTCAAATGCTCTCTAAACTCAGAAAAAAACTAGTTCTAAAAACAGAAGAAAAAAAAATTGGTCAGAAAAACTGAAAAAAATTTGTCCAAAAAGCTGAAAAAAATTTGCGCTTCCGTAGTGAAACCATACCCAAGAATGAATATTTAATTGGGGTGCAGTACCACAAACCCAACAAAAGGTGAACTGATCATTCTCAAGGTCAGGTAGATTGAACTAGTTTTGAGCTGTCTCTATCGCTTGTGTACACATCACCAGAACACTGTCTCTGTCCTACAAATCCAAAATGTCTGCCTAGTGACTCGATGGTCTTACACACACCACCCCTACTGCAAATACTGCAACACTGAAAGTGACCAGCGGAATTAGAAAATAACAATTTTAATTAGAGCGGGGGAGGCAAAAATGGAATTTGTTAACATTCATTAAAATAAAGAATATTGTGTGTTGGTACATGACCAATTTCAATTTGATCAGAGATCAATTTGATCAATCAGGATCAGATAGTATTTAAAAAGCAGATGACGTAGTGTAGGAGGATGTTCTCTGCTCAGCATTTTATTTACTGACTGAATAAAACTACTAGCTCATGAATGGATAAAATCAGGCTGAAGACAAAACAGCTACCAATGTCAGCCTCACATATGTCTATACTGAACAACATCTCTTGTGAATTAGAAATCAGTTCGTATGAAATACAGCTGTCAATATATGTACAAAATATCATTATATAACAAACAACACAGCAATATTTAATAAGTCATTTGAAAGTAATACAAAGTAGAAATGGACAAGTGAACACCGCTGCATACAGCGATGACTCCAGCAGTATTGTGCTGCCATCTGCTGGTCTTCACGGGTCCACTGGACAATATTGGGAGAAGGATGTGAGCCACTTGACAGGACAATCCCTGGAAACACACAATTAGTGACAAACAAGTGAGCATACAGTGATTGTAACTGTATGCTCACTTTAGACACTCTTTTTTAAAAATTCTTGCAATTATGGATAAACATTTGAACCTGAATAGAATGTGGCACTGAATGTCAAACTTCAACTTTACCTCCACCACGCCCCCGACCTCGACCTCCTCAGTTTGTGTTTTACTTCCTCCTCTTGTTTTTTACCTACTTACTTCCTTCCCTACCAAAATGGCACACCTGGTGTTTGACACATCGCCTTTTGTTTTCCTTTGTTACTAAGGTGCGGACCCGGAACATCCCACTGGCTGCTGCAGGTGTGCAGGTGCAGCAGCGGGTGTGAGGCATTTATTTATATGGAATCACACCTCCTGCTCTTCAGTATAGTGAACCCGAATGCCTTATGTGTTATTAGGATTGGTCTCAGGTGATTAATTTTCCCTGTGTTAATATCCAGGGGTGGCGTTGTTGATTACACTGGTTAATGCTCATCGAATCAATTACAACCAACCTACATTGCCACATAAAGTTCATTATAGAGGCAACATCATGTGATTAAGTGAAGTGTTCCTCTCTCATCCAAGCGGCTTCTTCAGTTCAGTTTGCCATGTCTTGTCATCAAGGAACAGATTCACAACTCATGGCCATGACTTATTTATGGCCTTCCCATAGCTTAATAGCTTGTGGCCATGACTTTGCAATATTATTTTTCCCCAGATGTCCCCAGAGGGGCTCTGTACAGTTTAACCTTTCAAAGCATAAATGTCTGTGAATTTACAGCACTTGGCTATTCAGAGCAGAGTTGAAGTTCTAAGGATGTGTTTGTTCTGAGTATGTTTGTACCTGTGATACTTCTGTCCCCTCCTTCTCTGGAACTCAGTTTCATCCACCGTCCACACAGCCCCCTTTCCTCCCTCCACTCGTACAAAACACTTGTGTAGGCTGAGGTTGTGACGCACAGCGTTCTGGAGACAACAGGAGAGTTCTGTTGTCATAAAGGTAAGGTTAAATGGTTTGCATTTATATAACACTTTTCTAGTGATGACTTAAAGCTCTTTACAGTACACTTTTTGTCATGCAAACATACAGTCATACAGTGCATCTATGTGCAGCACTTTCTCTATGAGAAGAGGCAATTTTGGTGTTCAGTATCTTGCCCAAGGACACTTTGGTATGCGGAATCGGGAAGACCGGGAATCGAACCACCTACCTTCTGGTTAGACCTTTTCTACCCCCTCAGCCACAGCCATATCATATTACTTGCAGACACATTACCAAACCACAAGGTAACAATACAATGGTGTTTATCACTGTTCAAGTCAACCTGCAATTATCAGTTTCGGACCTCCTTGTAAAACAGATATTATGTTTCAAAATTAATGTTAGTTTGTTAACGTTTAGAATATGTTAAGTTTTCATCAGTTGTTTCAAGCGTTTCAGAGTTGTTGTATAACATTACTTTATAATGCCACAAGATGATTTAGTCTAATAAATGCACACGTGTTCTGTGCCTTATTGTCATTAACAACGTTGTGTTGCAAAGCATTGAAAAAACAAGATGTTATCCCATCAACCACTGAGTTTGTTGTAACTCACAACGTCTCTACATAACATGTATCTTAGTAGTGGCCATTTTGATACACTTACAATTATGATATTTGGCAAATTATTTAAAAATACATTTGGATGTATATTTGCCCATAACTTGAATATATATTTATTTCAACACATGGTCACTTTCCACTATGATCTTAATTCAGCTGAAAGAAAGTTCTCAGTCAACTTTGTTGTTCATTGTTCTTTGTGCAAAAACACAGGGATTTCCTAAACATGTCATGATTCTGGACTTCATCATGGACTCATTGCCTGGACTTTGCCTCTTTTATTAAGAGTATTTTGGATTTTTGTTGTTGTTGTTGTTTTATTTAGTTTTATTATTATCTTTTGTGTCTCCCTGTGTATAGTTTTTTTTTTTGTTTGGATTTATGTTTTCTCTCTTAGTTCTGCTTCCTGTCTTATTTTGTAGTTTCTCCTTGCGTGTTTCCACCTTGACTTCCTGTTTTTGCCCTGTTTCCTGCCTCTGTGATTGTCTACAACAGTTCAACATGTGTTTCACCTGTGTCCAATTACCCCTAACCCCCCGTGTATATAAGTCTCTGTGCTTCCCTTTGTTGTCTTACGTCTTGTCTCACCACCCTGTTTTGATTTTCTCCTGCATCATCCCTCGCTTGTAAGTTTCTAGTCTTCCCTTGCTTTTTCTGTTAAACCTTTTTTAGTTTTGGTGTTTCTTTGGATACCAGTGCACTTCTGTTTATGGACTTTTGCCTGAATTAAAGAGTGCTTTTTGTTACGCCTTTTGGCTCTGCATTTTTGGGTCCTGCCGCTTCCACTAAACACAACAAAACATCTTTTTTAATCTCTAACTGCAGCACTTTTTCTATCACACACCATTCATACACTTTCAGGGGTAATTCTGGGCAAACCAGGGCTTGAAGCAACAACTTCCTACATAGCAGATGACCCCCTCTACCTCCTAAACAACAGCTGCCCTAACTCGCTACAAAAATGCATCTCGATTGTAATCCTGCCTACAAGGTTGTGATGGGTCAGGGAGACAGCCACTAATGAACGCTACTGATGAAAAATGATGTTGAAATCAACAGTACTGCAGTGCTTGAGACCAAAGAGTATGTAAAAAGAAATGAGCAAACAGGATCATCATATTGTACTGAATATGCTTTTTTTTTTTAAATCATAAGTTCACATGACTCAATTCAAGATGGTGATAAGTAAATTAGATAATTTACATAGTTTGAACTATTTATGTCAAAATTCCAATATGACTAATAAAGAGGTGCACTTGTTTTCAGTGGACATTATCAATTTACATTCAACATATGGCTCCAACAGTGTATATATATGAATTTGTAATAAAAACAGTTCAAACCTTCCAGGTAGCAGTGTTGTGTCTGAAGTAGAAGAACATGGTGGTAAACCAGTTGTAAATATCATTAAGTGTGAGCTGTTTTTCTGGAGACTCCAAGATGGACTACAAAAAATCCAACAGAGTGAAGAAAACACACAAGCTGTGACAACTCATTTTCAGTCAGTATTGATTACAAAGCCACTATAACAATTATTATAATTTGCTGTATAAAAACACCTAATAAATTGAAAATAAATCACCCAATTTTGACAGAAACTCACCCATCTTATCAAGTAGGCGTAGGTGTACGGAGGCCTGACGTTTTTGTATTTGTAATATTCAATGCTGGGGACCAAATCTGTGCAATAACAATATGTCATCAATTCATATTGTTAAACATATATAGAAATTGAAATACATTTTTAAAACTTTAAACAACTTTTTGTTTTTTCTGTAATATTTCATCAATAATAAAGTTTTTGGAAATGGTTTACCTGGTAGCAGGCTGGCAGAAGCAGTAGTGCTGTAGCCATGCTGGGATAACTCCCCCAGCTGTTTCATGCACCACTGTTGCCCTCTCCTATCTCCATCTGCCACTTGGGGCTGTGGGAGGAACAGAGGAAGGCTGTGTGGCCACTCAGAACCTGTCCTCTGTGTTCAGTGATGGAGATGGACAGTTACAGACAATGATACTTTCTTTATGCTGAAATATCATTAAGAGAAGACTTTATATTGTAGTCTCCCCAACATTACTAAAGCTATCCATGTTTAATAAAGGTACCGAAATATTGGCGCCAAGAAGAAGAAGAGCTGACATACCAACCCAGTGTGTTTGTGTTCAGAGAGGTGTAGATGAATTTGCATTGCAAATAGTTTCTGTTTTTCCAGGATGAGCTGAAAAAACAAGTGTTGGATTTACCTCATTTGTGCTTGAATAAGTCATCACACTCACCCAAGACCGACATAACGTATGTTTGCAATATTAAGAAAATACTATCTAGATAGTTGAACAGATCCATGAGTTTCATACAAAACAATGGTTAACAACAACTACTACTATTACTGCAGTTTCCACATGGTACATTCACAAGCATATTATAATCTAAAGATGTGTGCGCATTGTTCTATTTATGGTTTAGTAAGGCTTTCTTGTCAATAAAAAGGTCAACATTTGTTTCTTTAGAGAATCTATATTCAGCAAAAATGAAGGATAGCTGGGAGAAATAAATATGCTCTACACAAAAACAATGTACATTTTTACAAAGAAAAAAAATGAATATGGTAGAGAAAACTTTGTTGTATGTAGTCTGTCAAAAAAGCAAAGATCGCATTATGACCAGCCGAGATTAAGTGTATTACCTTTTTGACTGTGGAAACTGGACAATACATTAATTTAGAGAAAGATAAGTGGATCCGTCCGATGTGATCTTTAAATTATGTTTTCTACTGTCCCTTTTAATTAAACTCTGCAATGCTCTGTTTTGTAAGATAAGAAAAAAATAAAATGATTTTGTAAATATGGATGATGTGCAAAGACTGACTGGAGTTATCTGGAGAAAGCCTACGAGAAGAAAGTCAGTTTGTATAAGTAAGAGTTGTGTAAGCATACATTCATTTGCTTTGTTTGTGTTTTCTCATTGGTATGTATTGTGTACTCATAAACTTCTAGGTTTCTCTATGTCCCACCTGACTCTCCATGCACTGGACAATATCCTGCTGGACCCTGCACTGAGCAATGCTTCTGTCACCATGACTGTGTTCAGAATTGAGATGCCTAAAAGACAAAACATGGCAAAGTTCATATGCCAAAATACTCTTGCATGCAATTAAATCCAAAATTAGATAAGAAGATCGACTCTGTGTCCACGACAGATATAGGGAATATAAAGAAATCTGTCCTTCACCAGAGCCCCACTTAAACCACCTGAAATGTTAAGTTAATTAAATTAAGTCAACATTTTTCACTCTACTCCCATCTGCATGAATAGATAGAAGAAAGTACATTTCAGTGCCAGTGTAGTTGAGGAAGGCCAGACAGTAGATGATGAAGGTGAAAGAGGAGTACATATTAGCTTTCGATGAGCTGCGGGAGTTACAAAGTGATGGAAGCCTCCATCCATAATGGATAAGAAACCAATGTATAATAAACTGAAAAAGGTATTTTTAGATGTCCACTACAAGGAACAGGTGAGAAATACAGAACATAAATAAAAAAATTAACAAAGTAAATTCTGTAAAATGTTTCTTTTGACCCCAAAACCAATATTGGAATCGACTAAAAAATGATTGGTCAAAGTACATGGTGCTGCCAGGATTGAACACTGCTGTCAGTACTGTCGACATTCTCATAAGACTCTAGGTAAGATGGAATAGCATCTACCCTGAGGTTGTTCTGTTTCATACTTAACCAATACTTGTTAGGTTATTATCACACTAAATTATCAAACTCAATATAAAAGTAGTTCATCAGCAATCTTTGCCTACTGAAGGTCAGAAATAACCATTACGAAAAATGTTTCAACACTTAAATGACAAGTGATTCAATGTATTCAGCAGTTTACTTACTTTAAGAAGCTCGGAAAATCTGTAGACAAAGCCTCACAGCCGGGCCAGCGGCAGAGGCCACTCACAAACAGAGCACTGGTCCCCTCAGAGATGCTGGTGGGAAAAGGATCGTCTCAGTGACATTGTGTATAATGTACAAGATGTGTCATCTGCCTAACCACATCCTCTAGCTCCTCCTGGTTGATCTTTTTATGTAACCAGGCCAGATGACATATGTAAACATGTTTAAGGTCCATCATGGGGTCTCTTTAAAGTTGGACATGCCTGGAAAACCTCAACAGAGAAGCATCATGGAGACACGTCAACTGATTCCTTTTGACGGGAACTGTTATCAGCCAAGCTTCTTCTGGATGTCTGAACTTCTTGTCTACATCTAAAATTCAAATGCTATTAACCACTTTTTTGGTAATTACGCAAAGCTCAGGACCATAGATGTAGAGTTGGACTGTTGAGAACAGTGCCAGGTGCCCACTAATGGAGTAATGCTTGTGAGCTAGTTTAGGCAGGCAACACGAGCTGCGCTCCTCAAATCATGTGACATACCTCACTCTACACAATCATTTATAATACACACCCACTCCATTAAAATTTCCCATCACTCCCTTTGCCCCCGGTGCAGCAACAGGCCCCACAAACTGATGATCCTCATTCATAGGAAACCCAGAGAGTAATGAAGAATACACCACACACGTGGCCAGTGCTTTTGTTTGACTCTGGTGATCCTAAAATCTATTATCTTATTTTCAAAGCTAACCTTGCCAGAGTTCAGCTTAACCTTGGGTCCAAGTTTACCTGAAACCAGAGGTGGGAAGTAACAAAGTGCAAATACTTTGTTTCTGTACTCAAATAGATTTTTCATGTATCTGTACTTTACTTGAGTATTTATTTTCCAGGCAACTTTTTACTTTTACTTTTTGAACACAAATATCTGTACTTTCTACTCCTCACATTCTCAAAACTGGCTTGTTACTTGTTTCAACCTCCACAGATGATGACACGACGTAAAAGACATAACAACACAGAGAGGACCTCAGAGGACCTCACTGAACCATCCAATCTATGGTAGCGACGGGCAGTGTGTACATGGGGCAGGGACCTAATCAATGCAAGCACATTCCCCATCCATTTATTCCCTGTAAACAAAGATCCAGGTGCTCATGCAGGACCTCGGTTCAGTTCAGTCTTTATTATTCTGTCTGAAATTTGGCAGCAAAACTAAACTGTGTCCAGTGATTGTTTTGTCTGTACCAGCTCTCTGCAGGTTGGTAACAAAAGTGAAAAACTATCCCATTTTGTGTGTCTACAACTTCTTTAGTTTTGCAGAGTTATCAAAAAGCATTGTGTACCATTGAAGTTAAAAATGAATGTTTACTTTTGACTTATGAACTTGAGTACATTTTAGAGCCTCTACTTTTCTTTTGTCAAGACACTCAAATTATCATTGCTAAAAATAATAATATGGATTTCTGTTTCTCTTTTATGATGAAACACTTGCATCACTTCCCAACCCACCTGTTGGTACCCCTGCTCACCAAAAATGGTTGAAAAACCATCACAAGTTCTCCTCAAAGCTTCGCAATCGCTGCCAGAGCTGCAGCCTAACACCTGAAGGCTATTTCTCTCACTCAGCTCTCCATCATCCCTGCTTACCATGCTATGCCAGTCTCCACATGATTGAATATTGATTGTCAAAGATCATCAGTTGCTGCAACCTTGATGCTTTAATATGTATATGCTCCACTGCCTAATCCTATTAACGCATATCTGATGTTTTAATGCACCCTTGTCACAGCATCTATTGCACTTTCTCCATCCTAGGAGAGGGATCCCTCACATGGCATACAAATGAGGTTTCTGTGTTTTTTTTTTAAATAGTTACTCTTGTTAAGGGTTAAGGATAGAGGATGTTGCACCTCTTAAGCCCCATAAGACAAATTGTGATATGTGAATATGGGCTACACAAATAGAATTTGATTGATGTGCTTTGCTGCCTAATGCTATTTTTGCTGTCAGATGGTTTGCTGCACCCCTGATGCTTATATATGTATTTGAATAGCTCCCTAATGACATTATTGCATAACAGATGTTTTGCTGGGTTCAAAATGTTCATTGAACATGCTGCCCATGTGCTTGCAGGAAATCCAAGTTCACTAGGTATACTCCCCTACAGCCAGGGTGCTTTGGGGAAATGGCCTCACACTGAATGATGTTAGGCCTACATGTAGCAGTCTCACTAGGTAGTATATTCTCCAACTGCCTTAGGGCTATGGGGAATGGCTCACTGAGGCTGATCCCAGGCCCACACATAGAGGCTTCACTAGGTAGTAAATACTCCTGTAGGCTAATGCGCTTACGGAGAATGGTCAATTGGTCTAGTTGGAGCCTAGACACCAAACACTAACATGTTCTACTGTTGCAATAAACATTTGAATGTGAGTTGTCTGATTGAGCTGCTGTTGGTGCACCAATCCACAATTAAACTAACATGCCCTCGCACATGAATAAGACCTCAGGATACATGAATCGTTTCACTCAGCAGAGAGTTATTGGCTTTTTCTCCACTGCAACAGAGCCAACTCTATCCACCTTGCACCTTAAACAGGACATTCCTTATGTCCGTGCTGCACCTTGTGATTCTGTCCATGAAATTTACAAACAAAATCACAGACATACTCCTACAGTAACCCATCCCAGATATTCCATAGGGCAAGTTCATTAGCACTTTTTAGTCCCCAACACAGAAGTGGACTGTATGTGAAAACATGACATCTCCAGCAGAATCTGCATGAATTTACCAACTCAAGTAAGTAATTTTAACTCCAATATGCAGATATATGTATTTTTAGCCAACCAAATTGGTCCTATCCTATGATACAGTGATTTGCCTAATGCCTGCACGCACTGATTTGTCTTATTTATCATTCAATGTAAATGTCAATGTAACAATACAACAGTCACCCATCATGAATTCTGGCCTCAATGGAGCTCTGTGTTGGACCATCTGTCATCAAAGGGATCATGTGATGGCTTTGCCTGAGAAAGGAAGCCCTTGGTGGTGAAGGGGACTGGGGGAAACAACATCCATCCACCTCCTCCTCGCAAATGGAGAAGGTTGCATTATTATCTAAAGGCAAAAGGGAAAGACGGAATTAGTGTAAGTGTTTGCCCTGCTCAAATTACATACCACAAAATATGCAGCTACCTCTGCTTAAATAGGTGGTAAGAAGTCATACATTTTAACAATTCATACATTCACATAAGAAAAAAAACACCATCAAACACCACTGCAAGGATGGTTGTGTTTTAAAAGCATAGTTGGTCACTTTTGTATTAAGGCTAACTTTGTTAAGTTCTCACTGGAAAACCTATAGAATAAAGCACACCTGCAGAAGTCAGCACGCATCCAATAAGTGGGATGTAAAAAAATAATGTTGTTGGTGTGGAGCAGCAACACTGAATACATTGAGTACATTGGATTGTCTGCATACCATGTTTTCGCCTGGACGGTGTTTGGAAAACTTGACGCAGCACTGATGGTCTCTGTTGTCTCTGACATTTTCCTTCCGTGCTACACTGTGAGGGGAAACACCACTGTTAGCTGTTCATATTTTAATACTAAACTGAACTAATCAGATTAACAATGAACCGATATCCGCACACACTTCACACATTTTTCTGTGGACTATCCCTTTAAGGTTAAAAGTTTCCTTAGCTTGTTAGTTACATAACAATTAGGTAGACCTCTTAGCTCACCATTAAAAGACCGTCTTGGAATAAAAAATGATCAACGCTTGCTGATTATGTTAAATGGCTTCACATGACTGAGAACTACAAGGAAGGTATTATTTACATGAATAAGGAATATGCAAAATGGAATAAATGAAACAGACTGTCTTCTCAGGCACTGGATCTCTCCCTCTGACTCTGATGGTGCAGGCGTGCAGTCCCGTATTTCTGACTGGTTGGTGTCAGAACCGGAATACTCGACTTTGTTATTTTAAAAAATGTAATTGCCGTTGGTCTTACGACACAAAATATTTCTACAAAGTGATGAGATTATTTAAAAAGATTAACAAAAAGTGTATTTAGTGCAATAATCATCTTTGAACGATGAGCCACTTGGATCTGAGAATGCTGTGAGAGATGGGTAAGGAGTTAAGTAAAAGTGCAAAAGAAAGAAGATGAAGTGTAAGTCAAAAGAAGTGAAGTATTAGAGTGTAAAAGCAGGTCGCTGGGCATGTCTTGTGAACTTCTCTTTTGGAGGAGTAGTGTTTCTGCATTATTTAATTGTGTGGAGCACCATCTCAGAGCAATCTGAGGGGGAGGCAGAGGAACTACAGCTAAGAGGCTGCTTGCTGCCTGTGGCCAGTTCCATCCAAATACTCCACATGCAGTGCCAGGCATGTATCTGTTTTGTCAGGTTAAGACCAGTTTGTTTGAATAACCAGCATTAGATGTTATTGGTTTCTTGTCTGAAATTTAAGTTTTCTGGTATGAGGATTGGGAAGAGGTCGACCTGCAGGTCATGGTATCTGCTTTTCCACACTGGCTCAGTGAGGCCTGGAGCCAGGCTAGGGATGCCAGGCTAGATCTGTAATAAGGAAGCGATTGTTTGTTCCAGCATAGGTGTGTGGTGTCAGTTGTGTCATACCTGGTGTTCTGAGGCACGTGGGGAAACCATGTCCATGTTCTGAGGAGGAGCAGGAGGTAGGGCTTGGGACTGTTCACATCTCACACTCTCACTGGACATCTCCCAAAATGATTTCTGGAGAAAAGAACACATTTTCAATTTAAAGGGACATTAGCACAAGTTACTGCCAAAAACATTTAAAGCATAGCATGTTTTCTATCATATTTAGATACACATTGAGTATTTATCTCATTGGAAAGACCCGTCTCTTCACTCAGAGAACAATGGATACAATGTAGCCTACAAATATCTGCACTCATTACCCTCAGACTTTTACATAGACCCATGTATTTACTAAATTAATTACACTTAACAACCTCCTGACTAAAAAACTGCATTTTGACCACACCTGAGCACTGCAATTCCATATAAATGCTAATGAAGTTTGAAAATCTGTCCCTGCATTTTAGAGTTATTTTATACACACACTCACACGGGTGCTCCTGGTGCACGGGGTAAAGAGGAGTGACTGCAACCAATGCAGAGCCCTGCTGCTAAATGATCACTAACACCAGGAACCTGGATCAGTATAGCCGATTTGACAGTTGATAGAAATTAAGTTTCTTTGTCACAAAATTGTACCAAGCTACATAAAAATTAAGGATTAAAAGTAAAGATTTATTATTGTTATTATAATTTCTTTTTTACACACTCTCCATTTAGGGATTAATTTGATGAATCTGCTGTTTGAGCACAATAAATATTTATTGAAAAAACACAAATTGTGCCCCAAAATTATGCTATTTTCAATTTCTTTTTCATATTGTAAGTATTTGTTTTGTCAAGAATGTATAGTGTATTTTCGACTACACAATTAACATCTATGGATAAGAATTGCTTTGTGTGCGTTCTGAAAACAATGCATATCTTCAAGCTAATCGACATACAACATTCATAGCAGCCATTTACACATCACAGTCTTCAAAACATTAAAACATGACATTTCCTGTAGTAGATCCTCTGACGGAAGGGTTGTGGTTGTTCAAGGCAGGTGCAGTGACACATATGCATGCAAACACACACACACACACACACACACACACACACACACTGCTTTTGTGCAGCACGATGAAATGTGTCACGTGCAACCACTGGGACATGTGTTTTTCAAAGATGCTGGCATGGTATTTTCAGATCAGATGTTGTCATTCCTGGAGTTGTGTTGCACTATGTGACACTCAGTTGAACAAAGTCTTAATTTTTCCAGTGATTCCATTTGTGGTGGAGAAATCAAAACATAAGTAAAAACAAAAACTGTCTACAGTGCAAATAATTTCCCATCAATATGCTAGTATGTTCCAAACACTAATTTCCCTTCTGAAAGTTCTAATAGAGGCAGACATCCATCCAAATGTA